TTTTTATGATACAAAATGTAATTTCCAAAGAACAGATGATTAGCATTAAAATAAATACCACAGCAAAATACATTTCAGAACAATTTCATGCAGTCTGTATAATTCTTTTTTTAATTTCTCTACTCTTGTAAAAATGATAGATTTAGAGGAGAGTAAAAAAAAGTCCTTTCTGTGGTTTCAGATCTGCAGCATGTGGTAATAATAAATTAAAATCAAATATTAATTATACAAATTAGATTAACTTATTAATTACAAAACCTTCCAGTTTCATAAATTATAATTAAAAACACAGATTAGCTAGATACATCCTAGATCATTATTTCATAAGGGTATGAACAAACTCTCTGATTTATTTTATTTTTTATTTTTCATTATTTTCATGCTTTATAAAAACTATATGGAAACATGCTCTAGGCATAAAACCCATCTACAGTATCAACCCAAGACACACAGGAGCAGTGGGTTGCACTCCACTTTATTTGGTAGTGTGCCGGAGGATTGGAAGAGTTTTTGGTGCTTACCAAACACACCAAGGTACTGCCTAAGCCACGGGCTGCTATAACAAACTACGGCCTGCAGCAGATCAGACATTTATCAAGCAGTTATGGTTGGACTCCCTCAAAGCTGAAGTTGTTGTAAAAAAAAAAAAACATTTTACCCTTTGTTGTTGTACAGACAAAGATTCAAAAAATAAGCCATCGCAAATTCTCTAAAACTCTGTACCGGATATGCAAACTATTCTGGTGCCGACAGAAAGACTCTGGAATGCACTGAATTCTTGCCATGACCATTTTAACTCAAAATCACTCTTGGTCAAAAGAACCCCAACCCTCAGCTTGAACACATCTGCGAGCTGCAACGAGGCATGTGTGTTGAGTTCATCACTTTTATGATTCAGCAGACACAGGGCTGTGGTGACCACAATATCCTGTCTCCACAGAAGACTCGCTTCACACAAGAGTCAGACTCTTGTGTGAAGCGAGAGTTTCATTAGAACTCAACGTCTGGACCAGTGGAGTCTGTTGTTCCGTCTGACTAAACAGCATCATGTGTTGAGTTTGTCAAATGTCCGCCACATTAATCTGGGGTTTCTTTCCAGCTTTTATATGCAAACTATATCTAAATATGTGAGTCACTGTGCGACGCAATCAATGGAACAAAAATGTAAAACAGTACACATTACACATCAGGTTTTTATGCAACGTTTAACAGTCCCTTGAAATGACACGTTTAAGTTCCCCAATTTCTATCTGATGATGTTGGTGAATGTGATGCAGGCTGATTATTCACAATAACCTAATCTAGTTCTCCATTTTTACACACACACACACGTATATAAAAAAACATATAAAATATAATAAATAATGTGTATAAAAATATATATATGTACGAAATATAAATAAACTATATTAGTCAAGTTGCAGGGTCAATAAAGCTGACGCTCTGACCCATGTATGACTCATGTCATCAAGTTATCATAGTATTTGAATGTCAAATAATAGCTAACATTTTTGGTTTAAATTGTTATATATTGTTAGAAACTGAGATCTTATTTACTACGTGCAGACCTATTTACAGTCAATTCTTTAACAGGGCAGTTTTGTGTCAGCACAATCCCCACTGTGAGCATCTTGTGTGGCGCAGCTGCACACTGCCGGACCCTGAGGAGCACTTTTTTGTTCCCCTTATATTCTCCTGCTCACAAAACCCAAAGGCCGCCTCATTGTTTATGGGTTTGAAGCTCAATGACCAGGCAGGGAGCGTTGGGACTGTCCATTCAAAACTAAAAATGACCTTGTTACTTCAGCTGGATTCAAGAAATGTTGTTGAAAGCTTTACTGTCCGCTTTGTTTCACAAAGCTGTCTATGCAAATATCTGCAGCAAGTCAATACTTTCACACGTTCTTGTGCAGAGCAACCCACACACATTTTGAGAACACAAGAAGAACACAACAGTTGTGACATACGGTCTAAATGTGTCATTTAAAAAAAAAGGTGAGAACATTTGGTGTTCTCTGTCAGAGAGTTCAGTCAGACATCTCAAGTTTAAAAATGTTTATAGCAGCAGAAGCAGAACATCTTAGAGTTTGGCATTTAGGCTCTGCTGCCAGCAGATTAAATTACACGAGATATGAGTGATGAGCAAAACATTTTAAACCCTCCAGAGCCTGGAGGAGGATGTTGGGTGGTTATGGTGGCGGCACTGGTTGTGGTTGGATGGAGAACAGGCAGCAGTATAGATAGGCAGCAAATGCAACAACCTAAATGTTTGCCTTATGGCATTTAAAACAGGATTTCACCAATTTAGATAGATACAAGTTCACAAACTCATGTCAATTATTAATCTTAACATTTAATAACATTTTGTAACATTGTGTCAATAATGTTACTTTGTAGAGCAAACTTCTAATATATCTGTCATGTAAAGGGATGGGTCACAGCTGAGGGTCTTTGTCTGACACCTAGAAGGCTGAGGTCTAAATAAAGTTGCATGACAATGTGTCCTTTGTTCACAGCACTAAGAGTAATCTGACAAAGTGAAGCCTTTTCGCATCTGTTTTTTCACAGGAAACAACAATAATGTAGCAACAGCCTACAGTATACAGTCTCTAGAGTGTAAGACGTCAGGCTTTTTTATTGTACTGAAATGTTCTGAGGGCTTTTATTTTTGTATAAGCTGTCAGATAAAGGAAATCTGAATTGAAATTGTTAATCTACATGTCACATTTACCAAAAACTGGGAAGTTGTAATTGGCAGAAAAAAAATGGAATCAGTAAATCCCCAAAATTGGCTAATGTTTATCTTTTACTTTACTAACTTTTGTCAATAATGTTAGCAAATTAAGAGCCATTTTGTATACTTTTGCCATTATTTTATAATCTATTAGATCATTTATATTATTTTTATTAACACTGTAATATCATGGTTAATTATAATTAAGTATAATATCCATAGTTTTGTGACTTTGCCCCACAAGTCACAAAACCTTGATGAACATTTTCCAATTCCAATTCAATCAACCAGAGGTTTATTGGTTTGTTTTTTTAAAATCACCTTAATGAGAATTTTAATGACAGATTTCAGTATTCCAGTGATATTTCCCACACATACACACCCATCTTCCCTGCTCTCTCCTCTCCAAAAACAGCTTGAAACTAACTGCTACTATTGTTTCAGTCTCGTGCAGCCAGAAACAACATAAATATGTCACTATCATAGTTAACAGGCTGCAGCATTTCTATGGTTGGAGACGTTGGCCAGCAGGACGTTGTGAAACAATGACCATTCCCACAGTGTGAACTCCACTTGACCCCCTCTCTGTCCACATATCACCGAGTCCAAAAGAGAGTGAGTACAGAGAACATTCAAAAAAGGAGGTGATATAAATTATGTGCCTCTTTAGTAAAACACAGCTGCAGTGAAAGGACGACCTTCTTTTGGCAGTGCTTCCTGACAGAGTGCATGTGTTCAGGGTGTGTGTCACTTCTATAGGTGTGTTTCAGAGAGAGATTTAAACTCCTCCTGAGAAAAAAATGAAGTCATCACAGCCCATGTTTCAGTTGATACATGGGTTTAGTGGAGTTAAGATTCAAAGAGGAGCCGCAGACAGAGGTGGACGTGTTATAAAGGAGGTCTTATATTTTCTGTCGTTTTATGGATTTTTGTTGCCGTCAGTAACACCAACTTTTTTTTTTCTTTTTTAACTTTTGAAAACACAGCAATTGCCCGTTGACCATGAGCGGGGGAGGGGCCGTACTGATTTTGGGTGAGTTACATCTGTCCACTACTTGTGCAGCAGTTAGAATGGAATATCATGTGCCATAAAATTGAAACATATCAAACAACAGTACCCGACAGTACCCAGCAGACACAGTATCTAAATAAAAAAAAAACACTTAACTCATACAGCTTTATTTAGATATTTTGACATTGTTGTATGTATCTTTCTCCTTAGGTTACTAAGCATCACTAATGTGCAATTAGTCACATCTTCATATCTATATTTTATAAATGCTCTAAGGTTAACACTACACCCTATTCAACACGATCTAGCTAACAACTTAAATGAAAAAAAAAAAACCTGAGTAAAAAAAAAAAGGAAATGTCACTTCCCTTGTTTCTGACAGACTAAAGCTGATCATGCTAAAGCAGCAAATGTCTCAGTTTTGTTTATTGTTTGTTCAAGCCCCTGTTGCCATGCAGTCAGCAGAAGTGAGACTGCACTTACTCACAGGAGCATGTAATGGTACTCTGTGCTTGTACTATGTCAGCTGACGTTTCCCTGCTCAGAGGACACTCAGAGTTAGTTTGAAAGTATGATGCAGATGTTGCTGACCAATCTCAGGAAGTCAGAGATAGAATCAAGATGTTTACATGTTTTGATCCCCTTTTTTGAACTAACATTTACAGTGTCAAGGTAAAAGGAAACACGGGTTACGCATGGGTTCTAAAGTGGTAGATGATGAATTCATGTTTGACCATTGTTTTTTTTCCTTTCTTTTTTGTTTTTCCAGCTTTGTCCCTCTGCGCCCTAACAAACCTGTCAACCTTGTCGACAGAACATTGTCTCCTGGGAGAAGAACGAGGGGTTGATGGATGCATTGGTGAATACACGCTACTCAATGCTAAAAACAGATCACTGACAGTAATTTTATGTAGACCTATGTTTTTTTCACAAGCCCTACAAGTACAAGACTCTCACTGTCTTTCTTTTTCACTTAAGACATTAATGAATGTGAAGATCATGGTGATAATATTCCGCCATGTGGAAATTTCAGTACCTGCATTAATACAAAAGGATCCTTCTACTGTCAGTGTATGGACGGTTACTTAACCGCATCGAAAAGCTCAAATTATTCAGCGGCTTCATCTGAATCATGCATGGGTAATTGTTTTTATTTTACATGGAAGCATCTGTTTGTATTGAGTTCTGAGCTAATTATTTTTCCCTGTATTTTGTTTGTAGACACCAATGAATGTTGGGAAAATAAAGAAATTTGTGGACCTAACGCAAGCTGCAAAAACACACAACCACATTACAGTTGCATCTGTAACAATGGGTTCAACTCTACCACAGGAAAGATAAAGAGGAATGCCAGTGTTACGTGCATAGGTGAAATTTGTCACAACCATTCATTTAAAAAAGAAAAAAAAAAGCTCAGTCATTTCTGTAAATTTCACATCATCACCACATCAGTTTCTGTCTAAGCATGCTTTAGTTTTTAAGCCAGAGCCTTGTGTTGATGATGAATCGGACCAATGTGTACAGTCTTTTAACTCCCATCCAAAGGATTCACAATGGGGCTAAAGTCTGGAATCTGTTGTGAGCAGACAGTTTCTGACTGTGCTGACTCTTGCTCCGTGAATATCTCTGGCTCTAAATAAATCCTGACAGTTTCAGCTTGGAATATGTCAGAAGAATCACGAAAGAGAAAAAAAACAAATTTGTCCAAACATTTATTGTTTTAATTATTGGGGTCAGTGGACTACTGTTATGATTCCCAGGATAGACTGGAAAGTAGAACATTTGGTTTTTCAGTAGTCATTCAGATTTCATCATTGCACTAGAAAATTCTGACATATTTCAAGCATTTTTTTTACATTGTCTGCTGCAGGTCAAACTTTGACAGCTCTTTAACATGGCCATCTATTATTTCTGAAAATTGGTTGGTTAATGTTATACATTTCGATAAACTAAATACATTTATTTAATTATATTTGAATTTCCAGCTTCCTTTCTTTGTAAATGTGCTTTTCCTTCACATCAGACATCGATGAATGCAAAACAGAGAAACGCTGTGGTGAGAGTGCTGGCTGCCTTAACACAGAGGGTAGTTATCGCTGTATCTGCTCACCTGGCTTTGAACTGAAATCTGGAGACTCTAACATCCGTGGGACTGTGGTGCAGTGTGAAGGTAAGGATGCCAACAACACAGAAATACAGATGTTCAATAAGTTAGTTATGTTTTACAGTTACTGTTAAGAAGTTTAATGAAATAAATACACAGACAAAGACATTTGAATATTTAAATATAATAAAACAAATAATAAAATGTTTTTGAGCATTTTTGAACAGTTTCAGCCACTCCTTGCCATTATATTGCTGAAGCAGTAAAACCACTGACCTACACAAACACGTCTAAATCTTGCCAACATACAAGCGTGAACAGTCAACATGCGCACTTTATACTGCCCTTTCACACACACACACACCTCTGCTGACACGCACACTCTTCTGCACAGTATTCAAATCCTCCTATCATTTACATTGCATTCACAAAATACACTTTTGGATAATTTTGAAACATTTCAGCAAACCAGGATCTGTACTGTTCTATTAGTGAAGCCACTGGCCACGACTGTGTATGCCACACATGATTTACGTACTGACTATGACAACAACAGGTCACACTGCACTGGTGAGAAAACAGCAGCCACCAGCTTTACAACGTCCATCAGAACACATGTTTTACACTACATAGTTCTAGTGTCCTTATGTGAGGATCGAAGAATGCTTTTATTGATCTGCACCTTCTGTTTCCTCAGCCTTAAACTGTGACGATTTCAAAGACGATGGATACCTTACAGAGGTAAAGTTAAATAACATTAAAAATAAAACATAAACATAAAAAATATATGTTTTTATATATATATATGGCAAGAGAGAGAGAAAGGTGTGTCTCATTCCATCTGAATCATTTGTCTAGAAATGTCCCACTCTGCATGGATTTTTGGAGCAGCTGAAGACTGACTGTAAAGAGCTTACAGAGACTAAGAATCCAAAGCCACTCCAGGGAGAAGTCCAATTAAAGGTCCACACTATTACAGATTGTCCAACAACCGCTAAGAAAATATACAGATTCAGAAAAGTCATGAATACTGTAAAACAATTATTTTTCTGAGAACAAAACTTTAGCATGGCCCACTATCAGATGAACAAGCAAGTGTTGTAACTCATTTTTAAACATGATTTGATCCTTTTTAGACAGGAAGTGGTCAAAGTGGTTGCAATATATGCTGGAATCAAATAGTATGTTAAAACAAACAGTTATTTCCTGTGTTAGATGGATCTTTTGAGACAGTGCTTAAAATGCAGTCATAATAAGGGTGAACACTTAGTCTAATTTTTATTTTCTTTAAATACAGTAACTGGGGTAAAACAAATGCAACCAAAAACTGTGTTTACTTTTCTGGGGGGGGGTTTACGATAAACAATGCTACCTTGAAACCCAAACCTCTATCCTCCGTGCTTCCTGTCACATTTTATTTAGATAGTTTGTCTCAGCAGCCTTGTTTAATGTTGGACTGTGGTATACAGTATGTAGCCAGGATGTCTGACTCTGTCTCCTTCCTCTGCTGTTACTGCAGAGACTGCTGTCTATGATGGACATGCTCTTGTCCAGTCAAGCTTTAAATGATACAAGGTTAGTCTCCTCCCTTCTGGACATGACGGAGAGCGCCATGAGGCTTATTGGACCATTCATACAGACTCCTGGGAAAAATACATCCTCCAATCACACAGGTTGGATCAAAATTTATATCAAAGCAGCTAAAGTGGATTGAATTTGTGTTCTTTGCACAAATATTCAGAAGGTTTGCAGACTTGTATAACATTAACTGAAATGGAAACATATCTTTCTTTTGACTTCAGACCTTAAGCTGCTGGTTTATAAGGGAACTGACTTACCTCGAGGGACTGTGGCTGTGTCATTACAGGGAGCTCATTTGAACATTCAGTTGGAGACAGCTGCAGGGGATCCCTCTTATTACCCTGGTGATGACAATATGTTGCATCTAATATACCCCCAGTCATTGCACGTAGAAACATTTACCGATGTGACCGTTCACTAAGTCCTTTGTTTCTTTGTTACCCGTATTAAAGGCTTTACAACACTGTCCTTGCTGAAGTATGCAAACATGGAGAAATACACAGATACATTCTTTGGTAAGATGGAACCACCAAAAGGGCACAAATTTAAGATCAACTCTAAAGTGGTGACTGTCACTGTCAGCAATGCAAACACAAGTCATCTCAAAGAACCCATTACGCTCACTCTGCACCACCTGACACAGGTAAACAGAAAAAATCCCTGCTTTTGTCTAAGAATGTTTACTTTTTTACAGCCATATATATGTTTATATATGTATATATACATATACGTCCTTCCTGGACTATATATACATAAACATCTCACTAACCTGGTACATTCATTTCATTTGCAGCATAATGGATCCAGCTACTGTGTGTACTGGGACTCTTCAGAAAATGGTGGTGCCTGGTCTACACATGGCTGCCGTGCAGTGACAACCTTCCCTGAATCCACAGTGTGTTCCTGCAACCACATGAGCAGCTTTGCTGTGTTAATGGCTCTTCGTGAAGTGGAGGTTAATAGTCAACAGTTTAACACAAACTATACATTTATATTTGTTACACCCAGTCAAACTGAAACCTGTAATCTAGCAAAAGGACAAAATGACTTTTTGCACGGGTTTTATATAATTCTGTTGGATTCTGTTTGTAAGCAGCCGACATTAGGCCCGAGTTCAAAATATCGATTCGCCGATACTGAATCGATTCTCCATTCAATTCTCTAATATCGATTCAGTTTCGGCGAAATATATATATATATATATTTAAGAACAAATGACAATTGGAACTTCCACTCTCATGTGTTACAAACCACCGAAGTTAAAATTGACCTTCGTTCTGCTAGTCTAGCGGAAATGTTGACGACAGCGATGCAGGGTTAGGGGCTGTAGGGATCCAGTTATGGTAACCGACAACGCGGCAAACATGGTCCGTGCGGTTGAGATAATGGGGCTAAGGCATGTAGGCTACTTCGTTCACATTATAAACCTCTAACTCTCACACGTTGAGGCACATCACAAAGTACTGTAGCGTCCGACGTATAATGAATGACGAAGAGTTATTTAACGAACCTGCATTTATTGTTCAACTTTGATTATAGAACTTGGTTATTGTCGCGCCAAAACAATAGAACACTCCTGGCCTCACACATCAACTCAACTCGTGACTGTGTTCTATCCACACTTACCTCTCAGCCTGGCGCGCTCTCTTTCACCTGTTTCTCCGCCCCCTTGCTCCCGCGTTCATCCAGAAACATTCACAGACCCTGGGAAATCACAGAACTCTATCATGAACATTATAACACTGTAACATTACTTCGGGGTCGCTTCACTACTTTCATCGCAGTACGACAACCACCCACATCCTCAAAGAAAAGCATCAGGTACTGCAGCTGAAGGCGAAGTAGTCATTTAATTCAGATTACAGCTCAAAATAACAGGAATCTAAATCAAATCGAATCGTGATAATCGGTTCTGAATCTCGAGTATCGGAAACGAATCGATTCTTGAAATTTGAACTGATTCCCAGCCCTAGCCGACATCTACAAAAACACACAATTGAGACTGGATAGCCCTGAAATTTCAAACCAGGATTATTACTGTAGTTATTTATTTGGACTGTGTAATGATACTCCCTCTCTCCTAACAGGACAAGTTTGAATTGCAGCTAATCACCTGGATCGGTCTGTCCCTGTCACAAGTTTGCTTATTCCTCTGCATTCTAACATTCTCCTTGATTCGCTCCATCAAAAGCCCAAGAACCACCATCCATCTGCACCTTTGCATCAGCCTCTTTTCTGCTGGTTTGATCTTCCTCATAGGCATCTCTCGCATAGAGAACAAGGTAAACATGGCACACACAGCATTATCAGACTGAATATGGCCTAAAACATTTTGATTAATTAATACCTACTAGCAATATAGCTACTTTAATGATTTATGTGGGAGATATAGATGTACTGTATTACAACAATTCAGCAAACTGTTTTGTCCCATTGCTGCCTATTTTGTCAGTAGCCTTTGTCTTACGTCAAAGCTGACATTTTTCTCCCTGTGGTTCTAGGTTGGCTGTGCTGTGGTCGCAGGGCTTCTGCATTTCTTTTACCTGGCAGCATTTTGCTGGATGTGTCTGGAGGGCATCCAACTGTTCCGGATGGTAGTTCTGGTTTTTAACACCAACTTTAAAACCCTTTACATGATGGCAGGAGGCTACGGAGTTCCTGCTGTAATTGTCACTGTATCCGCACTGGTGAATGCTCAAGGTTATGGCACTGAGAGATAGTAAGTTCCCTAGTTCTACGTTAAGCTTATAGATCACAGTTGATACTTTGTTGATGTGTGCTAATTGTGGTTTTTAATATGCATTGCAGTTGCTGGTTGAACTTGGATTTAATTTGGAGTTTCTTTGGTCCGGTCTGTTTGATTATTGTTGTAAGTAAATGTTTTCACTTAGTTCAGTTGTAAATCTAAAATCATCTCGGTTTATTCCACGTCAAAATTTTGTTTGTTTGTTTGTTTTAGGTCAATATCTTCTTCTTCCTAATCACAGTCTGGAAATTAGCACAGAAGTTTTCAAGTTTGAACCCTGACCTGGACAGTTTGCAGAAGATAAAGTAAGCTT